ACAAAAGAATTAGGGTAATGCTGACCAGGCTGCCACAATTGTCCTAAAGTTATGAGGTAATACAGACCATTTTGTCTAAATTTTTTCTTGTAATAACAAGTTAATTATTTTTTGTACGCATTTGCCAATAAATTACTTTATAGTAGTAATTCTTCTACCATAGTTACAGCTCTGACCATTATAATACAACCCTAAAAATGGCAAAAAACCTTGAGGGGCCACCATTCCTTGACCTCCCCTTTTGCTATAAAAATATAGGCAAAATAAAAAAATTTAATGTCTTGAAAAAAATGAGGTCTTGAACCTCCCAAAACGCCGTGAGGTCTTGAACCTCCCAAAACGCCACTGATGACAGCGCACTTAAATACTGATCCTTATATGCATATTGATTATATGCGTTAAGGGATTGTCCATAAGTTACACAACGGTAAATATTTTTCAAAAAAAACTTAACCAGCTATTTTCATTTTTTACTTATTTTTAAGCTCTGCAATGGAAAATTTTTTATCTTTTTTGTTTTGATTATTAGCAAACTTTTGCGTTGCGTAACTTATGTACAATCCCTTAGGAGAAAAACAAACCTAATTATAAAATCTTTTATAAGCTCAATGTATGCAGAAAAGGTGCGCATGTTAATATTAAGCTATAGAAATGGATCGTGTAAAGTTGGTAAAAATCACTATTTTACAGGCCCGAAACGTTAGGGTTCTTTATATATATAATAAGGAAAAACTAGGGAAATGGTCTGTGTGGAATAGACTAAGTAAGACCCATATTTTTATGGGTCCGGTCAGCTACTTTTGAAATAATAATAAATTACCACATAAGTTAGTTAAAAGCTATAAAATTTAAATGATTTTAGCTTTTATAGATAAAACTAAACTTGTTAAGTGTAGGGTTTATTAAAAATTTATTTTCTTTTTACATTCATTTTTTTGTTTCATCTTTACTTCCAAAAAGGATTCAAGCAACCACTATTAGAGATGGAAGTTACTGGAAGAGAAAAAATGAGATAAAGTTACTAGAAGAGAAAATATAAAACAAGATAACAATTAACAGACGACTTGAAAGATTGCAAATTACACGAATCAGGAAGACAAGATAAAAGGAGCCAATTTCAAAGAACTGATGTTCAAGTAAAAAAACTATACAAATAAGAACTTTTGGAGCACTTGGGAACAGTGAAAAGATAAAAATTAATTGAATTACAAGTAACACAAGATGAATTTTAGCAGATGGCACAAGAGCCGCTAGCTCCTAAGAGCAGCACTTAATATAGCATATAGAAAAGAGAAAGAAAAGCAACATTATGTGACAATGGTTGAAGGTTAGCTACAAGTGGATGTCCAACTAGGCATGAACTTTTTAAAATATTATTTTAAAAAGATTACGATGATACTGAGTAAATACTAAAAAAGGATACAGTAAAAATAATAATAATAATAATAATAATAATAATAATAATAATAATAATAATAATAATAATAATAATAATAATAATAATAATAATAACAATGATAATAAGCAGAAGAATAACACTTTGAAAAAAAATATTAAAAAATAACTGTGGAAAAAAAAAAAAAAGAATTTAAAAAAAAGTTTGTTGCAATTTACATAACTTGTTAGTAACACATGGGGAATCCATAGAGAATGTAGGCAGTTAAACTGCTGGATAAAAAGCCCTTTGCAGGCGCCTGTATGCATTCAACGCCACCCCATCCTCTGCATACATTCGCGCTATCTATAACAAATTCAACCTTTTAATATTTCTTAAAGCATAAATCTTTTAAAACATCAAAAACTTAAATTTAATTAAAACTTTTCAATTACATCACATTTTATTGATTTTATTAAATTGTAAAATTTGATGTTTTTGTTAGAACAAAAAAGAGAACAAACTTTAGGAGTGTAAGAAAATGAGAGTTGGCAGACCTGCAAACGTACTTGCTGTTTTTAACCCCCACTCCCACCCCTTGGGTGCAATTGAATGTTTTTCGGAAGCACCCCTGCCCTTAAACTTTTATATATATAAAGGTTGTAATTTTTAAAGGGGCCTGTGAAAGACCCTGAAACGTAATATTCGCCTAATTAATTTATAATTAGATGAAGGTAAGTTTTACCTAATTATTCAAAGATTGACTTTGTATTTTATGATTATTATGTATACTATTGTATTATTTAAAGTTTATCTAAGTATTTAGAGATTATCAGCTGTTTTATTGACTTTTTTAATTACTTAAACTCAACAGGCCCACTAGAGAAAACACTAAGTTACATACACTAAAATTAGTTTTTTGCTTTATTTTTTTGAGGTTTATGCTCAGGCTTTCACAGGAAGGTGTGCAAACGCACATCTTTATATGACCATACAAAAAATAATATGTTTTAACAATTTGACCATGGCTTTTGACAACTTCAACTTACCTAAACTTATTTAAAAAAAAAATTGTAAAAAGAAAAAAATCTTAACAAAACAGAAAATAAAATAAATGCTTAGTTAAAGCAAAAACACACACACACACACACACACACACACACACACATATATATATATATATATATATATATATATATATATATATATATATATATATATATATATATATATATATATATATATATATATATATATATATACATATATAACTTAACTAAAACAAAACTTATCAAACTAAAATGCTTAGTCTATTTTAATATGCTTCAAAAGATGAACATTTCTCATAAAAAATACACAATTATATAAATAAAATAAACAAGTTTAATAATACTTATTTTAAAAATTAACTAAAAGTGTTTTGTTACTTCATTGAAAAGCATTTCAATAATATAAAAGCATTAAGATCAAACTTATTTGATTGTAACAAATTTTTAAAACCTTTTTTTTTCCAACAAAATTTTGTTTATCTTTTTAAATGTAATAACTTTAATTATTCTTATATTAAATATCGTTCAAGAGAACGAAAGTCTCTTTAACGAATGTCATCATTAATAAAAACAAAACATTTTTTTATTTTTTAATAACCTATATTATAGAAATGTGCACTTAAACAATTATATATTATCAACTACAAAAATATATACAACTGTCAATTATATTGAAAAAAAAAAAAACATTACAGGGCTGGAATTAAGTGATCACGAATTGCGATATCTGGAAATACTTCCGGTCTTATAAATTTTATCTTTTTAAAAACCGTAAAACTATTATAATTTAAACTTTAATGTTTTTATTTATTTTATTAAACATCAGGTAAAACTAGAAAAATAAAGCACAATTAAGTATGATATAAATATTAAAAACAAGCGCTAATCACAACAATCTAAAGGACTTTAACAATGATCGAATATTTTAAATAAAAGAAATTGTTAAATAAGATATAAAATACTTTTATATCTTATTTATATCTCATTCAATATTTTCTTATAAATTTAATGCTTGTAACACTTAGGCTGATACGAATATATAATTAAAAGACGGAGGAGTTAATATATAAAAACTAATTTAAACTTTTTAATAGTTACTTTAAAACAAAAAAAAAAAAAAAAAGAAACTCTAATAACATATTTGAGAAAAATAAACTTTTTAATTTTTTTTCTTATTAAATAATTAAATTCTAATTTAAAACATTTAAATTTTTAAATAAATAATTCCATAAACTTTCTCCCTAAATAAAAATCTATTTTAATGTAATATAATCCGCAAGTAGCTTTAGCATACTTTTTAATTGGTTTTTTTTTTATACATAGTTTCATACAATGCGCAAATAGCTTAAACATAGTTTTTTATTGGTTGATTTTTAAATTACCGCGAAAGTTTTTCGGACCTTTAGTTATAATAATTTTTGTCTTGCAACTTTTTTTTATTTATAATCCTTAAATTACATATTATTATTTATTGTTTAAAAAAGCAATAACTAATAATATGTAAATTTTGACTGTTATTATTTTTGCAGTAGTAAATTTATTGTTTTTCTTTTTCATTAATTTTTGCAATATGATAAACTGATCGTTTCATTAAAACAGTGTTTACAGTTTTAATAAAACTAAGAATTTAATGACCACAGATATTTCGGGATATTGCAATTCGCGATCACTTAATTCGAGCCCTGCATTGTTATATTATTTGTTAAATTATTATATTATTTAAAAGCATTTAAAAGCACAAAAACATTTGTTCAGAAGTTTTGATGTAAATAATTTCACTTTTTCAAAATTTTTTTCATTTTTAAAATGTTTTTTGATTTACCCACAGTCAAATCATCATAGCAAAATGTAATTTGCCTGATCATTAAAAGACGTGCGAGCGCACGCCTTCCTGTGAAAGCCTGATGTTCTACTTTGGTTTTATTTTTTTCAATATCATCTCTTTATTTAGACAAATTTATGAAACACATAAGTGTAACTTATTTAAATGAATATTTTTCTGTAACTACATAGTTTTTGGTTAAACCGAGTCTTTTGTTAAATCAAGTTAAATCAAAACTTTTTTAGAAAAATTACATTTAAAATGAAATGTAAAAGAGGCTATAAAGAGTAAACATAAAAGGAAATCTAAAAATAAAATTGAAACTTTTATTTCTGTTAAAAACTTTCTATGCGTCTAATTTATTTATTATTGAACATTAATAAAAAAAAATTATATTGTTATACTAATTTTTTTTTCAATGTTTTTTTAAAAAATTCATTAAAGAATGTTTTTTAAAAAATTCATTTAAATTCATTAAAACTTATTATATTTAGGGTTTATTATATTAAGTATATTTTAAATGTTAACAATGATAGAACTTACCAGATAACAATAATGAGAAAACTTATCAGGAATATAATTAGCCAAAACAACCCTGTTAATATCTTTACAAACTTCTTTCATTAAAGAATGTTTTTTAAAAAATTCATTTAAATTCATTAAAACTTATTATATTTAGGGTTTATTATATTAAGTATATTTTAAATGTTAACAATGATAGAACTTACCAGATAACAATAATGAGAAAACTTACCAGGAATATAATTAGCCAAAACAACCCTGTTAATATCTTTACAAACTTTTTTTTGAGGTTTTTTTCTCAGAAAACGATGTTGCTTTGATGTTTTCATATCAACAACCCGTCTTTTCTTTTTAGGAACGCCATCTTCAACTTCTTTTTTCCAATGAAGAGTATTTGACCTTCTGTCTTCATTAGAAGAATATTTTACAATTTTAGTCCGAAAGTTTCCCAAGCTTCCTCTATCCATTTTTCTAACAAAAATCTTTACTTGCTAAATATAAAAAAAGGCATGCAAGTGTGTACGCAATAAAACAACTAAATTAGGACCCTACCTTGCTCATAACAACCCTTTTCCATATGCATAGGTATGCAATATTTATTACAAAACATTGTTATTTAGCACTCAGAATTACGTCAGCATTTGAAAATGCCAATTTTGTTGGTACGTTGATAACTTCTTTGAGTCAAATTTTTTTGCGGACCTGATGTTGACCTCTAACAGTTTGAGGTTGGCAATTTATTGCCGAACTTACTTTTCCTCAGTTTGAGGTTGATTATCTGAATTAAAAATTATGTATATCAGAGAAATACATATATATGACAAGGGCCATTGAAAAAATTATAGAGTCAGCATACATGAGCTATAGCTAATTTTTTTATTTACTAAATACTTAAAACCTGTTTGAAACCACTAACTTGCTTAAAAAAAAAAACACATTCCCTAGTATTAAAGCTTAGTCTATAAAAAGAAACCTAGAAAAACATTACTCAGATAAAAGTAGCCAAAACTTTTACTAAATTAAACATTTTGTTGGCCACTAAAAAAAAATTATACGTGTATAAAAATTATAAGTGTTGAAGTTTTGATAAATACATTATTAGACATATTTAGTAACAACAACATTGTAACAAAGTTATTCAAATATAGAATAAAGTGTTGAACTTTGAATTCAGCACTTTAATTTAGAGCAGAATAAAAAAACACTAAAGATGCACACTTGAACTTTTGGTTGGTCAACAGAATGCAATTGAATTTAACCAATTTGATAATTTTGTTCGCTGTCAACCATTTGAGTTACCTGCCCCAACTTTTTATTAGTAGTCATTATAGTCCCATAATGAAAAATGACATTTTTCATTATAGGACTAAGTGCAGACTAGAAATAATTTGTGTAAATAAAAGTAAGATTGTGAACTATTCATAACATTCACATTTCTACTTTCAGATAAAGCACATGCCGACATATAAACCATGAGGTTTTTCACTTGAATTGACCGCTTATTTTATCAAAAAAACATGCACTCTTTTTTACAACAACAAAGTATTGAAAAAAATAAGAAAACAATTCAGAAACACTTTAAAATCCTTTGCTTTTAAAGTGTTGTAATAATTAAGATCTAATATGTTACAGGGGTTAAAAACTATTGATGTTTTGAAAGCACTTTAAAGTATTGCATTGTTATTTAACTTAATTTTAAATCGAGCTAAAAATTATTCAGACTAATTTAAAAAAATTAATTATTTATTCTAAAATTAGTATTTCAAAAGGATTATATTTCCTTATAATTTATTTCGTAAAATAGTCTTAGTGTATGTGTGTGTGTGTGTGTGTGTGTGTGTGTGTGTGTGTGTGTGTGTGTGTGTGTGTGTGTGTGTGAGTGCATGTTTAGATAAGCACTTTGACATATATTATAGGCTCAGCTAGAACTTATAACTTTGCTTGGGACAGGAAACAGTTTGTAAAAAAACTCTACAACTGAGCTCTGGTCACTTACTACTTACTACTTAAGATAAGCTTAATCTAGAACTAACTGAATGGGAACAGCTATTTTTTTCTTTAATTTAAATTTTACAGAATTGATTTATTTTTATAAAACTAACATCATTAAATCAGTTAAGGATTAAAAAAATTTTTTTAACTATCTTAAATCAGTGAAGGGGATGCCAAACCTCTGAGACATGTTGTGTTCATATTGAAGAGAATGATAAAAAAAAGTATTTGGGCTAACATTTTTTAATTAAAACCAAAGAATAAAAGCACACCAAGAAAATTTGACTTTTTTTATTTTAGGCAATGCTTGCCTTCTTTGTTTTGTTGTAGGCCAAGTCAGCATAATATATCCAGACTTAATAATTTATTCAAACGTGTTTTATTCATAAGAGTTAAAATACATGAAGTCATTGATTTTTTTTGTTTGAGTAAAAGATCGAATATATAAAATGACATCATGTACGTAAACTATTAGGAATAAAATGCGCTTGAATAAATTATCAGGTCTTTAGATTGTGGCATATATTATGCTGACATTTTGGTCTGCATTAAAACGAAAACAGCAAGTTTCACCTAAAATAAAAAAAATTAGTTTTTCTTGGTATGCATTTATTCTTTTTTTTAATCAAAAAAATTTAGCACTAAATTTTTTTTAATCATTCTCTTTATTATGAACACAACATGTCTTAGAGGTTTGGGATCCCTTTAATGATCAAATTATTTTATTTCAAATCTTAGCT